AAAAAGGGAAAAAAAAAAAAAAAAAAAAACTTCTCCAGCTGGATATAAGAGAGTTTAGAGTATAATTGCGATGAGGTGAGACTTTTTAGACCAATAGAGAGCCAATAAAAGAGCTGAGCCAATGGAGGGAAGGTAGAAGGAAGAAGTTGTTCCTGATAATATCAGCAATATTGCAATAAGAATAAACAAGCTACCAGCATTTCCCAAAAATAAGGGTTGGAGGAGATTAATGTCAAATTTGAAGGTTCTAAATGTAGTTATGCATTGGCTTGACACGTTGTTTACTTTAGGCCTCGCCCAGTCTACCTTCATTTGGACCCTTCAATTCTGAGGTGAAATCATATCAAACAAAGCAAATGTGTAAATAGTGCCATTAGAATTTCCAGTTCCATTTGACACAAAAAGCAGATACAAGATAACAGATGAATGTCATGATCTAATTATCATGTCAACCAAAAAATTTAATTTGCTGTATTTTGAATTGGAAAGCTGGTTGAATAAAACTATGTGCTATCTGGTTTTCTGAAACTTGAATCCCTTTATTTGACTCGATGTTATTCAATCTCGTGGAGGGTTCTTGTGTTGAGATTAGTCTAAGAATCCACGAATTTTTGAATCTTGAATCCTTTATTTGACTCGGTGTTCTTTTAATCTCATGGAGGATTCTTGTGTATATTTAGAATTTTATATCCAAGCTGCTTAACTTGGCAGCACACCAGGCAAACAAAGGTTCAATCCATACTGTTGTTCATTAGTATCATTTAAGACAGATCTATTGCGCAAGTTGATCATCAGCCATATGCATTTTGGATTTCGGCCACAAGTTTAGTCTTTATTTAAAGTCCATAATATTGCTTTCACTTATTACCGGTAGGAACACATTTCTTCCTGTCAAGATGCAGGTAGTTTTGTAGTCTTTTCATTTCAGGTGGACAAGTAGTCACCGGAATAAACCAGTTTTATTGAGTAAAAACCTAGTACAATATTTGCACAGAAGCTAGAAAAGAACGATTTTTATTACTGCTTAACTATTATTTAACACACAACTCTGATTCCCACGAGAGAAAGGAAGTTTGAGCCTATTTACCACCCAGCTCCAAATCTCTTGCCTGCTGCGGCGTGCTATTGCTGGCCCCATTTCACCTCAATGTACCAACCATTCACTGCACTCAAATCTCACATGTTTTGTTTTACCATTGTAGCTTAGCAGGGAAGTACTGCAACCAGATATAATTCTTCCTGTTGAGTAACTGATAATGCACTGGAAAAGAAGGAAAATATGGATTACATTATTACGAGTGTGCTTACCTTCTCAATGAGAGAGAGATAGTAGGGCTTCACTTTGTCGACATTAACCCGAACTTTACTCTTGCTGTAAAGATCATATTTGCTTCAAGGGGGAAAAGAGAAAACGAGATTGGCCTCGGTTAGTGCAGAAACTTAAAATATCAGTTTCAATCTCTTAAGAATGACAGTGAAGAAAAATATTTTCTTACTTGAATATACGCAGCCATTTCAGGTTTTCAACATCCTCCTCATTCATCAAGTGCTTATACGCATCTGATCTATGTAATGCTGCAGAATCAAATATTGTTTGGTAAAACAAACTTGTTTCTTCAGTAAATCAAACTTGTTTGGACAATTTTTTTAAAAACTTACAGTAGAATGAGTGGTATCTGATAACAAAAAGTGCTGCAGAAGGTAAAGTAGTATTATTCGCCTTTGCCACCTGAAAGTCCAAAGTAATAACAAACTTTATCATCCAAGTTTAAGAATGACAACATTCAATACTCTATACTTCGGCAGGAGGTTTACCAAGTACATATAGTCATCATGCCCCCAAGACATCATTACATTGTCGAGTCCACAATTTGGCGAGTAAACTCCGTATTTAGTGTTATACGCCGGGTTATAGTAATCAGGACTGTCCATGAAATACTGTAATTAAAGGGAGCAGGGTTAACGGTTGTAAGAAAAGTGAACAGGTTGTCCGGCATTTTAATTATAGAGAAATCAAGACCTTGTGGTGGACAATGGATTCATCAAAAGCACAGCCCAAAGGGTAGGTGTCTCCTGCAAGTTGGTCCAGAGCATGAGAACAATAATTACTAAAGAAACTTTATAAAATGAAAGACCAGCATACAGAGTCATGTGATTGTCTGGATGGTAGATTGAAGATCATGCTTACCCACAACAGCCCATTGAGGAAGACCACCAAAGCTTGGAAGAAGAAGCACCTTTCCAAGGTCTAAAATGTAAAGACAGATAAGGAAATAAAAGTAGTCAAATGATTGATGCAGTCTCAAGTGGTTGAAATGCGCACAAGTCAATGTCAATCAATTAATATAAAACAAAATTTTAATTTCATTCAAAATTCAAGAACTCAACCAAAGTCCAAAACATTTTAGAAATACAAACACAAAAATGAATTGAAATACACCTAAACAAGTCTTTTTAACAATAGCAGCGTCACATAACAACTTCAAAATATTGTTACAATATGAAGAAAACAACCTATAATTACTTTTAGGATATGAAAGGGAGCAAAATTCTGAAATACATTATTAATTACTAATGTGCTCTTTGATTCCACTCAAAACCAAGGCTCGTTTTGTCTCTCTCGATCCTCTAGAAGTGAACAAATTTCAGGGCTCAACCAGAATCAGAACATCCCAATGCAGTTCATTCTTATTTTAAGCAGATTAACAAACCTTGAAATTCACAACCTAAGCAAGCAGATTTCAAGTAGAATAAAATCGTTACTACCATGTATAAGCGCAGTCAAGTGCAGCCAATCTTCATTAGGATAATCCTTTCTAATGGCTTCAGCGGTCTGCAACAAGTGTTCGATTTGAGGCTCATCCAAATCAGGATCGCTCTCATCAACCACGTCATTGAGAAGCTCGCAGCATTCCCATATGCTCATCTCCACCCTGTTCAGCTGGCCGTACTCTTTTCTCATCTTCTTCACCTACAAAATCCTCCGCCATTTTCAGCCGTCGATTGCCGGCGGCGCGGGAATGAAAAATAACAGAATTTAACCAAAGGAAATTGCTTACGAAATCGTAAGTTTGATTCATGTGATTCTGTTTGTAGAAATTCTCAACCCCTTCTTGCCTTTCAGTTTCCGCGTCATAGTCCCTGCGTTTTGTAAATTAGGACTAAAAATATATATTTAATTAAGGATTTAACTATAAATTAACTAATTAACGATTATTAAGAATTAATTATTCCATACCCTTTCTAAATAGTAAATTTTCCATTTAAATTTTTAAAAATAATCCTAAACATTAATTTCAAATTATTTTCTTGTCTATGCTAAATTTGAAGTAATTTAAATTCAATTCTTACATTATTGTGGATTTTAAATAACAATTTTAAAATCTCAATATTGAACTTAGATTTAATGGATCTCCACATTTTTTTTATGCATTCAATATCCAATAACTTTAATAAGAAATTTATATAAATTAAATACAACATTTAATTCATGTATAGATTAGACAACAAATATGTAACTATTATTATCAATTTTATATTAAAAAAACTAAATTTTAAAATGTCATAATTTTCAGATAAATAAATTAGTGATTTTATTGTTAAAGTGTTAAACAAATTTTCTAAATTTTGAATCTTATGTTAAAAAAATTCATTAATGATTTTATTGTTAATTTATGAATTTAAAAAAAAATGAAAAGTACCAAATATGTAGATTAGGTATTATTTAATGTTTAAACACTTTAAGTTTTGACATTTATTAAAAAAAACAACTCCGAAATTTACGGATTAAATTAATAAAAAAATGACCCAAAACATTTTCATTTATTAACAGCAAAATAAAAAGGGCGAAAAAAAAAATAATAATAAATAAAGCAGACCTAAAGCCGTTGCCGAACGAATTAGCATAGGGAGCCAAAAACCCTCCGTCCAGGACCAATTCCGTGTCTTCTTCTTCATTCACCCGCTTCTCCTCCGCCGCCGCAACTCCTGCAAAATCGACTCGCCGGCGGATTCAATTTCAGATCTACACTGATAAAAATAAAATTAAAAAGAAAAAATTACCGAAGTCCGGGTTCTGAATGAGAATCGTCATCGTTGAGCGGCGAGAAAATGAAGAAAAAGGAAAAAGAGGAGAGAGGAAAATGGAGATTGTTTGGCGGTGGTGAGGGCATTGTTAATGGAGAAGGAAGGTATTTATAATTGGCCGGAAAGCCCTTCCCTGAGAATTTTCAGGCTCCGAGTCCTTGTTCCGAAATAACGAAAATAACGAAAAATACAAATGTTTGGTTTAATTTGTGTTATTTTACAATTCATGAACTACTCGCATGCAAATTTCGTATTCTTTTATCCTCAAAAGAAATATGGAACAGTGTGTGTGATCTGGTGCGTGCAAGCTGGGGATGGACATCCTTCAATTTCTTTTCTATCATTACACCTCATGTTTGACCATTTTATCAAATATATTTTTAAAATCTTTTTTTTTTAGCTCATAAATATAATTAGTTTTTATAAGCTTCATTTTTTTCCCTTCCTTTTTAATGGTACATTTTTTAATTTTAGGTTAAGGTTAGTTTCAACGTGTATGAGTTGGGTTGAGTGGGAGATTTTTTTTTACCCAACCCAAAAGTTCAGAACCCAACTTTCTCTGTAGTAAATTTATAAAATTGAAAAATAAAATAAAATAGGAAACCCGGGGAAAGTAGCCACTACTAGCTTCTTCTTACTCTTCTTTCTTCCTTATTTGTCCAACACCGTTCGAGTTATGCACCCATCTTTGCTATCGAATGTGCTAAAAAAATATCGTTTGAAAAGGAAATCAAAATGGACGGTTGAAAGTTACAAATTCAATGTGTCAATTGAGAGGTAAGACTACATTGAGGAGATTTAGGACATAACACGACTGCTTCATAGGATTTTGGTAAGTATAAAGCCAAATGATTTTTGGATCGTGCATTATATGTGTGTTGTTTTTAAGTATTAGTGTTGATGATTATTGGGAATGAGTCCCACGTTGGTTAATTTAATGGAAGATCATGAGTTTATAAGTGAGGAATACTATCTTCATTGGTATGAGACATTTTGAGAAGCCTAAAGTAAAGCTATGAGAGCTTATGGTTAAAGTGGACAATATCATACCATTGTTGAGAGTCGTGATTCATAACAATTAGATTCAGTCTAGGTCCACTTTAATGAGTATAGTAAAAGTTACACACTGTGTGTATCTTGTAACTAGCCACTAATGGATACATAGAGTTATGGATGATAGTTATTTTCATGGTAAGAATTACATGTTATGAATAATAGTTTAGTAGAACCACAAGTAATTGGCCCCACGCCCTCCCAGCCCAACTCATACACCTTGAGATTAAAATATATAATAATTATAATTGAGATTAATTGAGATTAAAAGAGAACCACAAGTAATTGGCCCCACGCCCTCCCAGCCAACAATTAGTCAAGCCATTGATTTGAACAAAATTCCAGCCGTAGGACCCAAATGACGTGGCATCTAGTCAAATTTGTCCGCGACTCTGTCACCCTCGGGAGTGGGTACGTAATATCCACGCTCCTCAGGAAACCATCTTTCTGCCCAGGTTTCAGTGGAGAGAAGTTCACGTGTCAAGCTGCGGCGCTTACTTTTCTTTAAAATCGCCACGTCACTCCATTGTCTGTCACGTGTCGTCGTGGACACACGTGTTTTATCTGGCTAGATACTTGTAAGGATTGTTTTTTTTGTTGGTATTCCAAAGTTTTAGTTAATAAAAATCAATTTATTGCAACGGATTTGGATAGTGTAATTATAAATAATTAATTGTTTCCTAATTTTGATGACCTCATTCATGTTAAATCTATCATAATTTTAAAACGTAACTAATTGATTTAAATTAAATTTATAGTCAATAATAATATCTATAATTAATTAAAGTTAATAAATATTCTATATAATAATTATTTTATATACGTTTATATTAATTTTGTAAAATATTTTTTAGGAATAATTTATCATAATTATATACCATTTTCCAACAATCTCATTTAAAATAATTTATATTTTTTAAAAATAAAAAATATCTCTTTAAAAACATATTTACCTCAACAGAAAAGGGAACCAAGAATATTATTTTTGTCTCTAATGAAAAAATTTGTCTCTATTTCCTTCCTTAGTCCCCGTCTAAATAAAGAATTTTTGCTTTGTTTGAAGCAAAATTTCACGGATTAAATAAATATCTCTAATTAGCTAAATTAATCATGAAAAAGTTGATAGTATTATTCTCGATATTAATTAAATAAATTAGAATGGTCAAATAATTATTTTTATTTATTTTAATATTACAAGAAAATATGACGGGGCACGTAAGAAAATATGAACCACCAGTTGGCTTAAAAAGTATATTTGATAAGTTTCGATCCAAATCGTAATCATAAGATAGAACGATCACAAGTGTTTTAAGTTGTATTTTTCTACACAGATGTTTATATTGTTAATTTCATTTCTTAAACTGAAGCAAGTATTTTTGTGTGTTTTCTTTTATATGTTCGGGTCATCATCGATTTATAAAGGGTCAACATGAATATAGCTAATTGGTAATTAATATACTTAAGCAGATGACCAAAGACTACTCGACACATGAAACCTAGTCTTACCTATCTATCATTGAAGTACAACTTATCCCATAAATAAAATTTATATATTTCAAGTCAATATAGGTGTCCAAATATGTTAACCTATCGAACATAAAATTAATTTAAGTAAATAGACATAGATCTAAAAGTTTAGAGACCACACTTGTAACCTATATTTAGGTATTAAGACTTCAAAGGATGCTTTGTTGCGAAGCATAGCAACCATGTAATGATCCATGTCGAGAGTTCGGAATCTGGTTTTTATACTTGATGTTCTCGACATTCTCCCACAATTGGAACTCTTCCAGCATTCTTTATCCTCACTCACTTGCATCTCAGAAAAATTCTCAAGAGGTAATTTATATCGAATTACTCCAAGTTAAAACATATCAATCATGAAGTTCCTATGATTGAACTAACAAAAAGAAAAATGCACTTTGTTAGTATATGTCTTTTTTAGTCACCATCATATTCTCATAATTGATCTGAACGTGATCTTGGTTCATTCATATATCCGTCTTTACTCGAGTGTCACAACCCTCAAAACAAAACAAAGCATAATTTCTGCCATTTGGCAATGCTACAAGACAGAGTAAAGAAAAGAACAACATATGAAATGAACTCACCCACCACTGTTCTTCTCATTCTGCCACCTGCTTTGTCTTCACCATTGTGTTTGTTCACCCTTTTTCTGTGCTTGCAATATAATAATATTGAACCTTTAGGAAGCTATTTCAAACACGACATCACTGTTTTTGAAGTTTAGCATGTTGGGTTATATTTTATGCGTCTGTATAATGCATTCTCTTGACAACTCGCCATGTTTAGGGCACGCATGTCATCCATGTTGAATTTCAATTGCAGGTTTCAATACATTTCTCAGCTCGGATGGACGTGGCAGCATTACTCTTTCAAATTTCATCCTTTTAGCTGGTCCCTGGTCAATAATGGGATCTGCTCGAGGCTGTTATGATCCTCGTCGTTGATTTTTAGGACCTTTTGAGCATGTCAAGATTACGATGCTGTATGATTGAAAATGTACGACAGTGAGAATTAGTATAAGAGTTGTACTTTGTATGTTTAGTCAGACAAGACTGTTAAGAAAAGAACCCAAAGGTTATAAAAAACCTTGCAAGTGTGTCAAGAGTGCTAGAATGAGTAGGACACTTGCAAGTTAGATTTAGAATTCAGTTGTTGGTTGAAGTCGAGACTCCCTCAAGTCCATTAGTGTCGTGTGTCAACACCTCAATGTGGGGAGATCTACTCGTCATGCAAGACCAAGCTCATTTGCCAAGGGCTTGGGACTCGAATGTGGGCAAATAGATGAAACAGAAGTCACATAGAACAAGCTCATTTAATTCTATAACGTTTGATGATTCAAACAATTGTCCCTATCTAATGGGATTGTCTAGGAGGTTGTTGATATCGAAATTTGACATCAGAATTTGAGAGAGTTTTGTGTGTCACATTGTATTTCTTGAGTGACATTTTGGTGAGAGTCTTTGTAGTGTGATAGTGAGCTATTCACTTGTAACATTCTGATTATTAGTGATTGGTTGCTACCCGTGGATGTAGGGGAATTTCTTCTTTCCGAACCACGTAAATATCTTGGTGTCTCTTTGTGTAATTCCGTTCATTGGTGTTCTGAGTACATTTGTTCCGCTTTCGGCGCACAACATCATTTGCATTAGAGGAATAGTGTCTATGATTGCAAGCAGGGAAGTCGGGAGTGTCATACAAGATAAGCGCCGACCAAGTGCCAAGTTGAGTACAACGCAAGTCCTTATAGGGGATGACATTGTTGCAAAGAGGCAACCGAGTTTGAGTGGGGAGGACCCAAGTGAATGGGTTGCTCATCCTATGAATGTGCTCCCAGGTGTGACCTCGTGTGTATTCCTTGAACCACCGCCTCGTGTCTAAAGTGGGTGGTTTCACAAGAGTTGTTAAGACCAAAATCAACTCGAAAAGTGAGCATCAACTAGACGTGGACATATAGAGATGAAGCTGCAACAAGAACAAAGAAGTGTAAAAGCAACTTTGCGAAGGTGGCCAATTGAGAAGTTGTCTTTACGTGTAGTGCCAATAGGGGTTGAGTTACAAACTTCTAGACCTTACTTCCAAAAAGGGTTGTGGGCATGATGAGGGAATGTCGTGATAGACAAGCCCACATGTCACCGTAAATGAATATGACCATGACGAAAGAATGTCGTGATACAGATCTCAGAGCAGCTTAGAGGATACAATAGTTGAGGCCAAAGCGGTCATGTTTGGGGCGCACTCCCCTTAGCTAAGACGAGGAATGCCGATGCTAGTTTTGCCATGATTCATTTAGTGAGTCCCAGACCGAGTTCAAGAGAAGGGCGAGGGAGGTCCCAAATGGGATAGCCCACAACCAACCATTGAACCATTTTGTTTTGTCCATTCTTATGCTGCGAGTCTCAAAGACCGAGAGAAGGTCCGACAATGAAATAGCCCATAAGTAATGCACAAGTTTTCCGTATTCATTACGAAATGTGATAAAGTTCCGTAGGTCAAGTTAGTAGTGAGTCCAAACTTCGAATCATCATCAATGATGATACCGAGATTAAATGGGGAGAGTATCACAATCCATGGAGCCGATTATGCCCTCACAATGTATGTGAATTATCGAATGTGAGACTCACCTCAATAATTCGACAAGCCTATAAACGGGGAGTTGGTTGCGAAGACTGAGAAAA